TTTTTTTTGTTGTGCCGTTTTATTGGACTCTTTTGTGTTTCCTCTCGTTACCTTGTCTTGTGTTTTTTTTAGTTGTTATTGTTTTTTTTTCTCAGTTGTTTCTTCTGTTTTTGTGTGTTTCTTCTTTTTTCTTTATTTTCTTCTCTTTATCTTCTTGTTTTCTTTTTTCTGAAGTTTGGTTGCATTGAACGCTGCAAGTAACGTTTTCCATGTCGCTGATGGGCCGACTGTTGTATTTTATGGCTTTGCTTCTGAGTGTTGCCTGCGTATCTGTGGCGTCTGGAACCCCCACAACAGAAGTTCAACCTAGCGGTCCTGAAGTTAATACTGATGACTGCACTTCTGAATCACCTGATTCTACTAATTCTCGCTGCCCTAAAAGAACAACAGAAGCTGATCTTTCTCTTCCTGTACCCCCCGCTCTTCCTGGTCCTGCTGGTCACCCAGGGCAACCAGGTGTTCGGGGTCAGGTGTCTGTGGTATCCAGTTCTTCTGGTAGTGGTATTCAGGATGCACAAGTGCAAAGAGAACAGCAGGGCCAAGATGGATTAAATGGACACAACCCTGAGGGAAGTGTCAGCAGCGGTTCAAAAACGGATCTCGACACACCAAATCAGAGAGGTGATCAATCACAAAAAAACAGTGAGGAACAAGATGCAAATATAAAGGATGCTGCCAATGCCAAAGATGCTCTTTCAGGTAGTACTAAAGGAGACGCCGAGAAAAATGATTCTCAAACTGATGCAAGCAGTACTACACATACTACAGGGAAACCAACTGAATCTTCACAATCAGAAGAACCTTCAGCTCCCACACCCCAGAATACAGGTGATACTCCTTCTAGCAGCTCATCTGTGGATAATACTGTGGGTTCAAATGCTGCAAACAATGTGAGTAACGCTGCCACTTCATCTGCAGACAGTGAGTCACCAAGTAACCCAACTAATGAGGAATCAACCACCACCACAACAACAACAACAACAACACTTCCTCCTGAACTCACAAACAACAAGAAGGGTGATGCAGACAGCAGCAGCAGTATCAGCAGTTCTGTGTGGGTACGTGTGCCACTACTGATTGTGGTTACACTGGCCTGTATTCTTGTGTGCTGATTGTAGTGGTGTGACTCAGGTCATCCTTTGTTTTCTTTTTCTTTTTGCATGCATCCCTACACTCTAACTAATCTTTCACCTGTTGGGATTATATTTTTCTTTTTGTGTTTCTTAATGTTATTCTGTTTTGTGTGTTTTTGCTCTCTATGTTTATCCTATAATAATTATTATTGCTACTCCATTGTGT